TTGTTTCACAATCGTATTTACATCAAACCACCTTTCAAGATATATACGTTTTATGAATGACTTCATATTTGTATCACCGCTCAGTATTTAAAAGTGATCAACACTACAGGATTATTTTAAAATTTAAATTTGTTGGGATTTCAACTGATTTCATTGAAGATTTCGCAGTGAACTCTTTAGCGATATAGTTTCAAATGAAGACAAATCAGATGCATACCCCTCTTTGGTTTCCAGTCACCTTATAACTGACATTTGGTCATGACAAGAGTTTATCCTTTAAGAAATATTTTCATAGTAATTGTAACCATTATCACTATTATTGCCATACATCTCTATAAATTTACAGCTTAGTAACAAAATTCGCTGAAAACAGTTCCTTCTGTGTGTCATGAGTTCCTATCCTAAACTCTGTACGAACAAGCTAGAAATCTTAAATACCAACCATGAATAAATACACTTATCCAATTAATTTTAAGATATTAAGAGTAACTAGTAATTAGCAGTTACATAATCAGGTTGCATGTCAAAATCAAACAGCAAATACCAGTGTCCTTATTAAAGTCTAGAAGAATTCTAGATTTCGACAGGTAGGGTCATAAAGGTTGAAAAGACGATAAATCGAATATTATCCTTATCATTATTATTTTATTGTTATTAATGTTATTATGACTTTACACTTGATGTTGAAAAACTTATACGAATACCAGGGTAATAAAGATATATATCAGAATTTATGGGATTGATAATTTCATCTAGTTTGAACTTAATATTCACCTTAAATCCGAAGAAAAGTTTATTCAAATATCATGTGCACAGTAACCGCATGAAGAAGCATGGCAATTTTATGGTGCTAGTTAAAAACGTTTCTTGTAAGCCCAATAAAAACCTAAATAATGCCCCATAAACTTATTATACGGCTTCACTTCTTCTTAGTGTTGTGAAATTATAAGTCGAATTGGAGGAATTATAAAAATTTAAATTACGGTTTTATAGTCATTCGACTGATTTAAATAAAGATTTTGATATGCTGTAGGCTAACATACTCTAACTTTTAAATTCCATTTTTTATTTATTTTGCAGTGTCTCAGTTGGGATATCTGCTTCTACTACGAATGTTTCACTGAGCGCCAGGCCAGTATGGCCAGGTGACAAGTTTAAAATAAGACAAAGCGCATCTATTAAATTCCACTAATAGCCGGAAATTCAAGATTTACATTGCCTTCAAAATACTCAGGAAGATATATAAAACGTTCGGGACACTTATTAGATTGCAAATTAGGTTTCTAGACAAAGTAAAAACTTTGTAGTTTTGGTGTATTTAGTATTAAACGATTTGTTTGAATTAGAAATATTTTATTTTGCTTCAAACCCTACTGTTAATTAACTAAATTCGTGATTACGTATGGTTCAGCAAGCTTCAAGTGCTACGAGAACATTTGGCAGCTGGTATTCAGAATTTCAGTAATAAATATTCCCTTATCTCATCGACATCATCAAGATGCTTAACTTGAAGTATTGATTTTCATAAACCAGGAAAAGTGGGACTAAAAACTGGGTACTGTGAACCACTACTAGACTAATTTAGTGTATCAATTAGTACTTTGACATCTGACTGTAATTCCTTGATAGAAGAATCGAACCTTGACACTGTGGCAGAGTATAATTCTATCATAGAGTAAATTTATTTGATAAAAGCACTCAATGATATAGTATTATTTATATACTGATGACGTTCCGAGCCTAATTTATTGAGCCTAAGCACATCATCGCACTTACATAATTTCCAAACTCCACTTATATAATTCCATTGTTTTTAATCCTCTGAATTTATTGGTGGTAATATTTTCCATATCACTGAAATCGGCACCGCCTCACTGCCGTTGCACGTGTTAGGTATAGATTGCATGAACAAACAGTTCATCGATCAACCTTTCTCTCTAGTTAACTACATTACATTTCAGAATTGTAGCTATGTCCTATCAGATTGTATGACTGTGTGTTAGTGCATGTATTGGGACTGCTCAGTTTTTCTCTGAGGCATTCATCAACCGAGGGTTAATCATTCTATACTTATCTAAGCTCTTTTATTCCGATCATACTGATTATAATTCTTATGAATAAAAATAATAAGCTGATTCTGGGCGATTAGTTTCGCATCCGACCACCGTGACAGAACTTGAAAATTTCTATTCAACTAATTAACTTTAATCTATACAACTGTGCTACGCATATGTACATACTCATTATGAATTAATAATTCAATCTCACCATTTAAAACAAGAATAGAAACTGACTGAAATGTATCTCTTCACTTGACCTTGTAAGTTAACAATAATTGAACATTGAAAACTTTTTGATTATGAACTATATTTTGGATAGTTTAAATCAACGTTAAAAGGTGTCATTTTTAAAGCTTCATTTCATTGCAAGCACCTGTATTCTCCTGATAACATCTGTTGTTCCCTTATAAATATGGTGCTGGTAAATAAAATCTTGTAAAAATTTGTAAACACACCTGTTTTTTATTGAAATTTGTTTGTAAATTATACATATTTACACTATAGAGAAAAAGTCAGATTATTACATTGTTTTAGGCGTTTTTTGAAAGTATTGAGACCTCGTAGCAAAAAGGCCAGAGATTACAAAACAGTCATAGGTATATTTATGCATATTTGATATGGAAACTGCCATTTACCATTCCAAATGTTTCTGCAACGCTAGCAGCACTGACTGCATATAATAAAGCATCGCCACTGTCTGGTTCTTTAACATCACTGTTCGTGGTTTAACAACACAGATGCAGACAGACATTCTTTCAAAATATATCGTTTTACAAATCCATTTAAAGCTATCCTAAGCATTCCACCTAATCTTAGTTTCCCTTCGTATGTTATCCTCTTACATACAGTGGAAGCAATTGAGATCCACTTGTTGTGTAAGCCTAAGTTAAGACTGTTCTAACAAACATTCCACTGGCCTCTTTCCTTTTCTTTCATCTCTTTGAAATTCATGCACTGTTCGGAAGTCAATATTTACCTTCCTACCATCAAAGTAGAAATGTTGTAAGAATGTACATAAACTTATACGATTTCCGATGAAAAAGGAAGCACACATGATTCATGTAGATTTTGTAATGTAACTTAGAGACCGAAATGATTATGAGGAACAAATTATGTTCCAGACAGCCACGCAGTCAATTATACTGTTTCTCTGTGAAATATATCAAATAAACAAATTCATGTGACAGCATACTACCACAGTGTCTAAATTCTACAGATTCATTAATTCATCTAATCTCATTCGTACACGGCATGGAAGTTTATACAGCAATATATCAAAGTTGAAAGGTATGCAGAAAATAGAAATACACTTGTTGAGGGGATTAAATTATTCTTAATTATTACTCCGAACTTCAAGTATACTGAACGATTCAAATGAATTACATCCTCGTATTGTTTTTATGAACGTTTTCAGAAGAACTACACAATTCAAATTCTACGGTCTTATCCCGTACACGCTAATATTTTTTAAAATTAAAATTTCTTGGTTATTTGAAATCACTAAGAAATGTTAGTCATCTGAAATATCACTTTAAAGTTAGTCAACTGCGTAATGTTTAAAATATCGTAGATAGTTTTGAAGCATCAATAACGATTTAATTGAAAAGTATGTATATCTGCGAAAATATTCAGAATTCGGGTTGTGTAAACATTTCAGTTTCATTTCATACAGAATTCGTTATGAACTGATATCAGCTTAAGAATCATTGAAAGCCAAGAAGCACTGCACAGCTGTTTATTCTGTCTAAAAGCGCATCACAAGTGCACCCTTGCAACGCTTAGGGAGAGAACCCAAGGCTTACAGGTTACCATTCAGCTACCGTGATGAAATAAAGTGACCACTGATCTCTAGACCACCCCAACATCCGAAACGTCGACATTACCAACCACTCCCAGTGACGAGCTTCTTTCTCAGTAATAACTACAAATGGATATCTTGAAGTTCTAATGAGAATTCGTAGATGGTGAAGTTCACCAAATCTGGTGTGAAGTAACTGCTCATCGACGATACTGGTTGGTTTTCACGAATGTAACGAAGTAAGAACTCGTGAGTCACTAAATTCCAACGCACTGGTTGAGTGATAGACCAGTTAGTTTTGAGTTCAACTGCTGCTTAAATCGTAGGAGCACATAAACTAGCATAAAACAGCTTTCCAGTAACTCTAGATTTTTAATAGTTTGTGATGAAATCTACCTTTAAGAGCACATGTGTCAATAGTAATCAGCAGTAGTGTAATGTGTGGCAGTTTCTATCATTAAATCGTTGAATGTGTACAAATATAGACCAACTCTGATGGAGTCATATTAACACAAAGGAAATATGGCACGAATTCACCAGTATTGTGGTTGTCTAAGATGGGCTATACAAGTACACCGGAATATTTAGTTGAAGACTACACAGTGAATAATTATTTCTCAATATCATCGTGTTTGACTTCCTCTTTATCAAAAAGCCTGGGTCATTACGTAAACAAGAGACTTTCCAAATCCTTGAAAATAACAGTGACCGGCTTTGCCTGATGCTCAGTAAAAAGGAAGTAGGTACAAATAAAACTCCTAATAGTATTCACATAACTATTTCCAGAAATTAGGGATGTATTAAGGATAAGTAATAACTGCAAGTGTAATTCAGAACCCCCTCCCCATGGATTCATCACCTCGATTCATTAGCGTCCCAGCGCACAATGAGGTCCTTACTAAGACTTGAACCTAGCACCCATCATTTCAAACATCAAAAGATTATCCATTAGGCGAATGAGCTTTCACAGATACAACGTGTGATTCGGACTTTAGCCGCTACTTAATGAAGATTTCAACTTCAATAGTGTATTTTAGAGTCCCAACAGGAATATCATCATTCACCGAGATATGAGGAAAGTTCAACTGACAAATCTTAAATAAAACAAAATACAAGTTATTAAATAAACTATACTAACTTACGTGTACATAATTTCAAGTGATTGTGTTACATTTTTTCTTGAATTCTTAAAATAATCATCAAAAGATACTGTAGCTGACTGAAAATTTGCCAATTCTGAAGTATTTAAATTCTTTGACTTATATGCTATGCATTGGATAAGTGAATATGAAATTTCAGCATTTCTACCAATATCTAAGTCATGGGCAGTAATCTTTCCAATTGATAAAGCTAAATAGAAATATATGTATAAAGAAATAAAGAGGTAGATTATTGCATAAATTTATTTGTTTTAATAACAGAAAAAAGATATTCCATAGTAAGAAACCGAAAAGTGTTGGTTTGTAGGGGTTTAATTGGTGTCAAGATTGATCGCAGATTGAATTCAGTTAGAGAATCACTGGAAATCAGATAGTGCTGTACTGATGATTCGTCTTCGGCTGGAACCCATCATCAGCACGCACCCACAACACCACTAAGCATCAAACCCAGAAACGTCAGGTCACAACGTCGGCTCATAGGCCATACAACCACTGGGATGGAATCCGATAGCGCATCAATTCTGATATCTGCCAGTTCTCTAAATGTAATCATTTTGATCACTCTTGAAGAAATTGAAGGTTTGCAGTACTAACTTCAAGAGTGGAATATTAAATTCACTTGTAGATAACGGTTGTGCAAATTTCAATTCAGATTTTGATAAAATTTTAACTTCTATTCATTCTGTTTAGGCTCAGCAAAGCAAGAATAGTGAATTTAACATGATAATATGAGTTCACAGTTTTTTATCACTTTGCAGATTATCCTCAACTGCTTGCAGCCTTCTTACAGGCTCCCCAAATCAGTAGGGTATCTCATTTTTGATTCATCAAAATGAATCATACTCACCCTATTTCGTTTCGTTTTAGTAATACAATTATGTTCGTGTATCACAATCTATGCGGATGGGTATTCACAAGTAAATAACATCTACCGTCAGGAGTTCGAGTGTACTTCAGATAGAAAAATATTGCTTCACATGACAAACCATTCTCATTTGGAAATTTTGTACATGTATATACACATATATTACAAGGTGAGATTCAAACATACTTTTATCAGGTATATTAGTAGTTGTGGATAGGAGTCATAGATAACAGAAGCGAGGAATAATGGACTTAGTTAAACACTCGACTTATATTACCTACCAGTGCTATTATTAACACTTTGTGAACTCGGTAAAACAAGCAGTGATTGCCATCGGGCACAACTCAGATAAGCGTGCTCGCAAATGGCTGGAAATGTATTACTGTTATTATTATTGTTCCCTTGGGTTCCAAGTGGAACATAGTGCTTCAGCTGCACGTCTTCACTTGCTTCTGTCTTCTGCTGTACTTTTCACCTGCATCCATGTTAGTCCATGCTGTTTCAACTCTTCTTCACACGATCTCCTCCATGTCAACCTTGGACGTCCCACTCGCCGCAGCACGATGTCACTCAACGGCGTCCTCAGTGAGTGTTCAATCCATCTCCACTTTCTCCTGCATATTTGTTGGGTGATTGGTTCTTGTTTTGTTCGTTCCCATAGTTTCTTGTTGGTTCTTGTTCTTTCCGGCCATCTGATCTTCAGTATACAGCGAAGACAGTTGTTGATATAGGTCTGCAACCTGTTGGAAATATTCTTTGTGACTCGCCAAGTTTCTGATCCGTATAGAACAACTGACTGACTTGACGTTTGTATTGAAAATCCGAATTTTGTTGTTGATGCAGGCTGAGTGACGAAGATTTCCAGATTGGTTTCAGGTTGATGAATGTGTTTCTCGCCTTCTCAATTTGACATCCTCGTCCGTTCCTCCTGCAGTTGAGACAATGCTCCCTAGATAAGTGAGTGAATGAAGTAACCTCTTTCAAATCCCTCCTGTTGATGGTGATTGGCGCTGGATGTTGCTGCCATTGTTGTTTGTGGTGGCTGTTGGTTATTTTCATAACCTCCGTCTTGTCTATGTTCACCTGGAGTCCTATCTTCTCTGGCTGCTTCTTCGACCAGTTTGTTGGTTTTCGCTTGTAAGTCTTCGACCTTGTGTGACATCAAACATAAATCACCCGCGAAATCCAGGTCTTCTAGGTCCTTCACGTCGGTCCAGGATATCCCTGTCTTCTCGTTTCCCAATGTCTGACGCATAAGCCAGTCCATCACAATTAGGAATATCATTGGTGATAATAAGCACCCTTGTCTGACTCCTGTGTTTACTCCAGAAGTCTCGTTGAGTTTTCAATTGTGGGTCACTTGACATGTGCCGTTGTCGTACAGCTGTTGAATAAGGTTGATGAATATTTGGGGTACGCCATAGTACTCGAGTAGTTTCCAAACTACTTCGCGGTCAACGCTATCGAAAGCCTTCTCAAAGTCTATAAAGTTGAGATAGAGGTTTGATTTCCATTCCATGCTTTGTTCAATGATGATGTGTTGAGTTGCAAGTTGGTCCGAACTTGATCTGCCTTTCCTGGATCCAGCTTGTTCTGGTCGGAGTTCTGTATCCAGCGCGTCCTTGATTCTCTCCAGGATGATGCGACTCAGGATTTTACTTGGCGTCGACAGGAGCATGATTCCTCGACAGTTCTTGCAGAGTCCTAGGTCGTCCTTCTTTGGTAGTTTCACGAGGTAATCTTTCCTCCAGTCAGTAGGCACGTTTCACTCCTTCCAGACCTTTTGCAATGATGGAGTCAGCATATCTGCTGTCGTCTCTGGGTCCGCTTTCAGTGCTTCCGGGGGTATTCCATCTGGTTGAGCTGCTTTTCCAGCTTTCAGAAGCTTGATTGCATTCAAGACTTCAGCTTTCGATGGAGGATTGGTGTCAACTTGCAGTTGTGTACGCGCTGTTGTTGGTATTTCTGGACGGGTTGCAGGTGGAAATGTGAAGACCGATATATAATATTGAAATGGCTTTTACGTGGCTAGCAATCTTGAGTGGTCTGGCAGTTGGGATTTCTGACATTCACCTGGGTGATAACTGAGTAGGAGATACAGGTTCAATTTCTTTTCGATGCACTGTGACTTCATTTACTAGTCAGTAAGTTCAGTAAAGCCAGGAGGTTGGGCTTTAGACTAAAATCACACCCCGTAACAAAAAGCAACACCATCGCTACCGAAACTTTAAAGCTTGAAGTCCTATATTCCACTTAGAATGCAAGGAATTAAGCAAGTTAAGTATCTTTTCTTTACAAATTTACTTATCCTTCGTTTTTCTACAATACATCTTGATGTTAATTCAAACTGTTAGAGTAATTATGGAAAAAACTATAAAAGATAAAGTTTAACAAAAACTTACAGAAACTTACATGCTGTATGATTCTCTAACACATAGAATTCTATTTTATCTAATATACTTGGTGGATTATCATTTACATCTTGAATTGTAATTGTAACATCAGCAGTAGCATTCAAACTAGGCGAACCACTATCTGCAGCATGAACATGGAAGCGTAGCTCGTGTAACATTTCTCTATCTAAGGCCTTTTGTGTACTTAAATGACCAGTGATTTTATTCACTTCAATAAAATCAGCGTTTTGTCCACTTAACCAATAGGTGAGTTTAGCATTATCCCCTTAGATGAAAAAAGGAAAATAAATAAAGCAAATGAAAGACTGAAGTGTCTTCAAAGAAACTGTAGGTTTAAAAGAGGACCAAATATATAAGTGTTAGTATAGCAAGGTGAAGAGTGAAGCCATCAATGAAGGTGTAGTGAAAACTGTGGGTCACAATAGGCCTCTAAATTTCTATTTCGCTTCTTATCACCTCAGCTACGAGATCTAACTGTTTATCACCCCATCATTTCACTGCAAGTAATTGAATCTTGTAGCTCAGCTGGTACAGACTTAACGCAATAATTCTAGAACCACTGGTTTAAATCCTTTTGTGGAAGGGATTTTCATTTAGCTTTTGTTAATCATCCATTACATCGACCGGTGTTTACTGAGCCAAGGCTATCCAGAATGGTTTAACCACCAGTCAACAGATAAAATTATTTATTATTTTTCAGGATGATTAATGAAGGAACCACTGACAAAAGTGACCGGTAGGATCCAAGCAATGTCAGTCATCACCATTAGCATTTGGATCACAGTGCTTAAGCGTTAAAGAATAGGAAATAGTTAATGTCTGGTAAACGATTGTTGTGATTATTTTTCGAGGTGGTTAACAAGCAAGCTTTCGTAGAATTTGCATATATTTGTGGCATCTTTAGGCAAAATTCATCTTATATAAAGAAAAATGCCCTGAGAGGGTGAGAATTTTCCATCTTGAATCGTACGGTAGATGTCATTAATTTTCTTGAATCAAGCGTCAGAACCTTAGTTATATGTTTTTCAGTAGCATTTTCGAATGGGATTTGATATGACTCTAATCTATCAAAGTTACCATTATTACACCCTTGGGTTTCTGGCAGCACAAAGAGCTTTAGTAGTTCATTGCCATTTCATCCTCTTCTATGTAGTCCTCTTTAGCCGGCTCCAAGACTGTCTGTAGGCTCTCATCACCTCTTTAAAATATCTCCGTGCCATGTTCGAACTCATGTCCAAATCTCTGTTTTCTATTCAAGTTCCACACTAGGGACTGGTGACAGATGTCGCTTTATTGGGCTTCTCAGCGTTTTTTAGACTTGTATTGGTAAATATCTTTTGGTGTAAGAGGTTTTAGTCGACTCGTGTCCTATTCAGCCTCATTCCACTCTACATATTTGTTGGATGATAAGTTCTTGGCTGGCTCGGTGACAGAGTTCCATGTTGTTAATCCTTTGTTGTTATCTTATCTTAAGTATTAGACCAGCGAGGAGAACTGATGATGAAAGTGAGCGTTCGCTTGTTGGAAATGATTTTTGTGAAGAGCCCACACTCTCGACCATAAAGGAGAACTGACCTGACATGAGTGTGGAAGATCAATATCTTGTTTGATTATGCTGAGTGCAATAGATTTCCACACTAATATTTCTATTCTACTTCTGCCTTTAAAACATCCTCATCTGTACCCTTTAGTTGGCAGGCTACGAAAACTTTAAAGCACAACTGTTAAAAAATGTATTGATATTAGCGATTTTCAATAAATATGATTAGATACAAGTCATAGAAAACAAAAAGAAAAATTCCAGTTAATTACCTTCATCGGGATCTGTTGCATTGACCCGATTTATTACAGTTCCAATTTCACTATTTTCATTGACATTAAAATAATAATGCATTTGACTGAACACTGGTGGTTCATCATTAACATCAGTTATTCTAACCACAACAGATCCAGTACTACTTCTTACTGGTGTACCATAATCTGAACAGGTTATCCAAACAGTGATTTTTGAAATGAATTCTCTATCAAAACTTGAAGCTGTTGTTAGCTTGTACCTAATAATACAAAAAATAAATTCGTATATAATTCAGAAATTCGTTTAGCAGAGGTTTAAATATGATTACAAGATGGATTTCATCACAAGTTGGCATTAAATAGATGACTAGTGAGAACCATGGAGCAGTAAACCTACATTTCATTCTACTTTGAGACTCTTCAATAGCGTGTACTCCCAAACCCACTACATAGAGAGCAAAATATCCTCACGTTATCAAACTAGCAGGTTGATTACTAAGTATGTGAACTCTTCAGTCCTTTTACCGGCAATACAAATACCCCGCACAAATTGAATGTCAATGCATTCAATCTGCTGACAATTTTCATCAAAAATTTGGAAATCCTCCCTCATGAGCATTCGATCATTATTCTTCAGTGTTTCAATTTTTGGAGCTTCGGTAACTTCAGAACTCCTTCATTTTCAGTGGTTTTACAAATAATGTATTTCTTGACTAAATTCATTTCGAGGTTTGTATATTGCAAATTTAGAAGTTTTCAGTGTGACAACTAATGTAATCACTTCATGTGGTGGCTTAGCTGAAGAGTTGTCTTTGAAGCCATACATTTTTAGTGTTAGTTTGTAGACATCTGACTGATTTCTAGGTAGATTTTATTAATGATTGATGTAAGGTAACCATAGTTCAAAACCAAGGAGTACTGAATAGCCTTTACCACCCATGACCCATTCAGGCGTCAGACCCAGGACTTCCAGATCACAGTTGGAGCATGTTATCATCCAGTCACTAGAATGGAATCGAAAGACCCATGAAATCTAGATCCCATCAATTCGAGATAATATAGTGTCACCCCCAGCCAACGATACCGGAGATTATCTGTCCTCCACCAGAAAACTACATAACATTCACTCGAGTTACACCATAAAGGCCTATACAAGAAATGTGGAATAGACAGACAAAGAAGATTGGCAACATTTAACACAGACAAGTAAATGTTCCAGATAAGAGCATGATAAATCATATATTAGGACGGGTTACGCTTTTCAGACTGCATAAGCTAAAGATAAAATCTGACATTCACACAAAACTGACAATACTACTACTATCTAATCAACTTAGCATAGGCTCATGAAACTACAGAGGCTATGCATGTGGAGCTTGTTTAAACAACAAGAGTTGTAGACCGAAAATATTACCTAATGAAAAATGTGAATATTGAAAATGTAGGAGAATTTCTTAGTGATCGCGACAGAATTTAAACAGTAATTTACCTGACAATCTTCACATCCATATATCTACACTTTCAGAAGGCTAGAAAACAAACGGTGAACACATCACCCTCAGATTAAACGTCTATAAAGAATAATAAATCTGTTATGGAAAGCATGAACAACTGTGCAAAACAAATTTCACCAGAGTCACCCTTCATATTCTCAGATAATAGATAAACCGAAATAAGTCGGATGATATTAAGATAAAGTGCTCAAAAGTACCAGAGCGAGAAAGCCTTTGCAATTAATGATGGTAATCACTGTGAAATAGTTTGTTGGACGAGGTAGAGATAAAACTTAGATGAAGCTCAACATTTTTTTTCGACTGCAGAACAAAGGCTTTTGTCGGTGTTAATTATAAACTTCTCACAGAAAAAATTACACATATGAAACAGCGGAATGCTGATATGATATTTGGCACTACATAAGGCATGATATCAGATGGAAATATCACAGAAAATGTACTCGTGTAGTTGCAATCCAAAATTATTTTTTACCGTCAAAACCAATAAATATCAGAAATAGAAAATTGTAAATGAATTTTCACTTGTGAACTTTATTAACTGTTAAATAACTCGTCTTTTGAGTACGAAATTGGTTTAAAGATCAACTAAATACCATAAGCTGAGTATTTGAATACATAGAAATTTCTTTCAACCCTCTAAAACTCAGTATTTAGGTGAGACATAATGTTCGCAAAAGGAAATAGCTATGGGTTTGACATAGGCTGATGAGAGCAATGAGTGACATGGGGTGACAGGCAAGAGCTCAAGGTAAACTCAAATGGAAAGCTACGGGTAACATATGATATAAGTCTGAGGGTGACGTGAGGGAGATCATGTGAAGAGGAAGTGAAGGTTTGTTAATAGTTTTGACGCCATCTGAAGGTAATGGCAAAGAGTCGACTTCAGTTGCATTCTTCCACCAGGAAAGCAAGCAATGAATAATACTGATGCAAAATGTCCTGATACTTATCTCACATTATTTTTAAACTGCTTAAGGACTATTAAACAATATGTTATTATTTCCTTTTGGCATTCCACTCAGTTCTCTGGCATTACTTTCACATGGCTCTACCACTGCCCATAGGTTTTCCTTTTAACCCCACTTGACATTCTCCATGTTGCCATTGATTTCACACCTGACTTATTGCTTCCATCCGGATTCCAATCGAGAGCCTGCCTGTTATGTGATGTCACTAAAATGTTCCCCCAGCGTACATCCATTCCATCTCCATTTCCTTCTGTATATGGGCTTGTTCGTCCACTGACTAAGTTCCTTGTTGCTTATCTTTCCATACCGGTCACGTAATCTTTACTGTCTTCTATATTTCAATCTTGAATATTTCATCGAAGAAATGGGAACCAGTTTGCAGAACAAAATCTTCGAATTATTTATTTCTTTATCACCGAAATTTATACAAGCACAATTTTTATAAATGTCTGTTGAAATGTATGGTTATGACAATCTCCTTGGAGGGAAGTATAACAAAGTTAGAATTAAGCGACATTTTTCATAAGACAATTATACAGTATAAAAATAAAGGGTGCAGTGAGGGATATATTTTTACTTACATAATTGAAAAAGGCATATGCATTTGTTGCAAACTGAACAAAGTTTCAGTTGGATTCAGTAAAAGATTTTCTAATTTTTCTTTATTCTGTGTATCGAAATGCCATTTTCTTGATTCAGTTAGTCGACAACTCACTCGTCCATTATCTCCACTATCTTTATCTTGTGCTGTAAAAACAGCAACCAGTCGGCCAGGTTTTTCATTCTCTGGTACTAGTGCATAATTTGTTAAATGTGCTGGTTCAAAGTGTAATTCAGGTGAATGATCATTTTCATCCAACACAGTAATTTCAACAATACACGTGGTACTTCTAGGTAAAGTTCCTCCATCACTGGCTTCAACAGTCAGTATTATCTGAAAATGTGAAATGAAGTTTTAAAAAAAAATTAAATCCACGTGTTAAAGCATGAAAATTATGTAAATCAGACTTTAACGTATTGTCCTAAATGGGATACCGTTCAAGCCGTGACTCCCCTGTTCTTTCACACAATCAAATGAATGAATTGCACAATTGTAGGATTACAACTGAATTTGAATGTGAAAATATCATAGACAATTGTGTATGAGCAATAAAATTAATCAGGCTTCTCACCAATAATTTACGGAACAAAATTTGTACCTGTCGTTCAATGCCCGTTTTAGAGATAATTATATGGAAGAGGTTTTTCAGCTTTCAAATGAGTTGACTGAAGATCAGATGACCAGAAAGAATTAGTAATAAGGAACTCTGGCAGTGAACAAACCAGGAACCTGTCAACAAACAAATATGCAGAGGAAAACAGAAATGGATCGGAATTATCCTGACAAGACCGTTCAGTGACACCACACACTAGAAAGGCTGTCAAGTCAAATCTGAATAGGTAAAGACAAGGGAGTGATTTCGAGGGTGACATGGAGTGAGATCATGTGAAGAGGAGACGAGAGCTTATGGACAATCATGAAGCCAGCTAGAGAAAATAGAAGAGAACAGATTGAAATAGGAGAAGTGCTGTTGAAGCCGTATGTTTCACTAGGAATTCAAGGGAATAATAACATGGTAGTAATTGCCATAATAAAGACATCTGTGTAAATAAACTGACTGAAAAGTTATTTTCAGCCTATATAAATGCCAACGAAGACAAATACTCTTCTAAATTACAATTTCAGCGCTCTACCAAATGAGTGACTAGACCAGACTGTTAACCAAGTCATAATTTTACTACAACCACCATGGATAATTCTGTGACCAGCAGTTCTAATACATTCACAACTCAGATTTTCGTTTCACTTTCAATTAACGCTCAACACATCAGTATCAGACTGCTACGTATAGTGTGTAAAAACGAGTGACAATATTGAAGGTATTGTTATTTTATTATTATTCCTGTGGGTTCCAAGTGGAACATAGGGCTTCAACAACACATCTCCACTTCCTTCTATTCTCTGCTGTCCTCTTCATCTGGGTCCACTATAGTCCATAATCTCTCATTTCCACTGAGGTTCCACTCGAGCAATGGCCTGGCATGCGATGTCATTCGGTGGCCTCCTCAACATATGCCCGATTCATCTCGATTTTCTCCTACATATTTGTTGATCAGTCGGCTCTTGGTTGGACTGTTGCCAGAGTTTCTTGCTGCTAATTCTTTCTGGCCTGCCATTTGATCTTCATTATGGGTCGAAGGCACCTTGCCCAGTTTACTAGCTCGCTAGTTTTCTAGCCAGTCGCAAGTCCGGGTAAAGAGGGAGGGTTGGGCGTGGGGCTAGCGACCCTACCCCACAAAACCAGTCAAACTGCTACCGAAACTTCAAAGCATAATGAAAATATTAAAAATACAAAAATATATTAAGGGTGCATCTTAGATATAATAACAATAACTTTTTATTTAATTTTCTCCAATTAATAATAAATACAATGAAAAATAATATCTTAGTAATATGTTACAAACAAACTCCCAAGTAGTAAGGCTTCTCCTTTGATCTGTTCATCTTCCATTAACTAGAACTAGCAAGATCTTATGTCATATTTGATAATATAAATAAATACTCCAACATAAATGATGATTGTATATGCATACATACATATCTATATATAAAATTTAATCTTTCGCTTTTCATACATGGTTTGAAATTCAGTCATTTTAATGTGGAGTTGAAAAATTATAGTCTAGATTGTGGGTAGCTCTGAAAGTATTTGGCAGTGCTTTCGATGTCAACCTAAAGGTGTCTTCATTTAAAAGTATATTGAATGCACTGTTCACAAGCCTTTGCGGGGGATTTCTTCGTCACAGAATACCAGTGAATTGAATTAAACAATAATAGAAGTAATCAGACACCAACATGCTCCTATGTAGAAGGGGAACATTCTTACATGTCTTTTCCATTCCTTTGCTTTCCGAGTGGAACATAGAACTTCAGGCTTTAAAGTTTCAATAGTGATAGTGTTTTTTTAGTAGGATGGGGTTCTAAGCCTCACACCCAACCTCCCCTCTTTACCAGGCTTACTAACGCCCAAACTAGATTTAGGGGTATGTCTTTGGATAATCGAACAGGAGCCACGTGTGTGGTTGGCAAGCACTGTACCACTGAACGACAGACACACTTCTTTTATATGTAACCATGAAAAATAAGTATGAGATTCAAGTTATTTCTCCGAAATTGTGATCTCCCGTTGATATATCTAGACCAAATTGATCCGTCTAATTTTAGCAAATCGACTGCCTGAGTGGATACCCCGATATTACGATGAATAAAAACTCAAGGGTACTTGTTCGTTGACGACTAATGGTGAAACCCAGGACGTTTATTTCATCCCATTCAAGAGTTGCCAGATGAATATACCTGCTCCCAAAGGAGAGTCGAACTTATCAGACACTATTGTCGAAGCCAAAGCGTTGTCCTCTAGACCAACAAGCTATTAGAATCATGTCAAATTCCACTCTTAGTCACCATCAAACAAGTAAGGATACAATATGAAATTCAGTTGATGCTCACAAAAACTGTATACTTTTTTTTCCTTCACGTTCCCCAGTGGAACATAGGGCTTCAAGCTAGAGGCTTGAAGTTTCTGTAGCAGTGTTTACTTTACAGGATGGGGTTGCTAGCCTCATGCCCAACCTTTCCTCTTCACCAGCATTATTTCTGGCTTAGCGAGGTAAAGGAGTGCGTCGGCCGGGGATCGAACCCCGGACCATGTGCATGGTCGGCGAGCGTCCCAACCGCTATACCACCAACGCACGTACTTTGATATCTAGGAATTATTTGGCAGTCAGTCACGAATCCGTATAATATCATGACCACTAGTAAGTTGTATAGAGTTTTGTAAAATGCAATCAATTTATATATATATATAGCGTACTGTTGAAATAAACATTTTTACGTGTGAGATATGATTAATTTTCAACTCTTGCAAACAAAATAGCATTTATTATCTCTCACATTGAATATCAGAAGTAAACAAAAATCTAAGTATAAATGTATCATACAACTCTGTATGAATCGATTGATAATAAATGAGACTTTATAATATGACTGTTTATTATCAGATAATCTAATCTTTGAGCAATAAAAAGCTGGCCATCCTAACAGTAGTAATACTGAACAGTACAGTTGGTAAAACTCAAACGTATGAATTTGTGAATTCTAAAAACACAAGTTTAAAATTTTCATGGTATTTTTGAGAATAAGAGTAATGACAAAAGTTGTGATGTTAAGCTCTTCACAGGACCTATACCTTGACCTAGGATTTGTGTTTACCGGTGCTCGTTAGTAAGTTGTATCAGCAACTTTGAAAAGAACTGATGCCTCCCCAAAGATTCGAACCCATGCCCCTACTGCTTTAGGTTTGTTTAACTTATAAGATTCGGCGTTTTAAGCAGTTAATTTGCTTCATTCAAGTCTAGAATGTCAAAACAAACAAAATTAACATTTTGGACCTTATTAAGGAGGTTACATCAGACTTTTATCTCACCTGAACATCTGTGAATACGCAATTTCAGTCACTTTAAATGAAATGTTGACATCAAAACCTTTTGGGTACTTGTTTAAAATTTCTGTGATGTACACATTAAATTAACTGCTATTGTATCTATAGTGTCAGACAAATAATTTCCCGATATAAAGAATTTAAAGAGGTGTCTTCCTGTTTAACTTCTGAGACTATATCTTCTGAAACATACTTAAATGAATTTTGGTTCCAGTGACCTGTCTTTGTAAGGAACAGAATAAACGGGTATACATATATATAGCTAGAGATAGGTTAAACGTTGAACATGTTTGTTTTACCTGAATTTCATTTTGTCTCCTTTCCTGAAGCAGAGTGCCTAAGATCTTTGTAATGAAGGTTTGCTAACTACTCGCGCTTTGTGTCTGTATGTTTTCAGATTTGATTATATGTTTAGAAAAATATCTGCTTATCAATGCTATCAACTGTTTCATGAGATTTACCATTTTGTTAAAGACAACATGTACTGTTATGGACACCGTATGACAGGTAACTGTGCTCCCTTACTGGTGCGAGTAACGCAGTCATTCAGAGAATGTTGACTTTACCATTCTCTGTATCATACGAATCAGAAAAATCCCATGGCTTTCTCTGTTAGTCACGAGCAGGTACATTTGTTCAGGTGAAATACACGAAGCAGACATCCAAAGATCTCTCTAAATAAGAGGGCCAACCTCGCTTCACTGCAGCAGCTATCAGCAGGCTACTCATATACACTCACAAGTATCTCGTTAGGATTACTTAGTTCGTTGCAACTCCACGCTGATTGCCAGACACATAAGATTCGTACTATGGCCTACAACCCCTAACCCCATTGCTATCAACGGTCACTTAATGAAGTCACTCAAGACTACCGTCGTCTTAAAACGTTATGCAAACTTTGTTTGTATGTAGAGCATACCACACACGCGCACATACTATTATAACCTCAGTCATTAATAATGATATCAAGTTTTATCCGTCATGAAGTCATAAGCATCACATAATTTTTTAATGTTTCTTCAAATGATGACTGTCCATCTTTAGACCTAAAAGTGATTCTCATTAAGCAGAACTCTATTCATCATAAACTTGAATAAAATTGAACAAAAAACATGACAGACTATCAAACGGGTTAATTGACATTTTAAAGTGTAGGCGTCTAGTGCGGTACAGTTCTAAAATCAACAAATTCACTGCATTTTGCCTCGATACTACAGTGGTACTACACGCGTGGTCCACTGTTCGATTCCGGGCTGACGTACTAGTCTGACATGCCTAGTCTGCTAGCCAACAACGAGCTCGGTAACGAGAATAGGTTAGGGAAGAGGCTATCTATCCTACCATGTCAAAATAACATGGCTACTGAGACCTCAGGGTCTCAAGCCTGAAGCCGTAAGTTCAACTCGGAAGTCATGAAATGAAAATAAAATAAAATTTTACGTCAATAAAATTATAACCATAATATTGATTTATCTTTTGTGAGAGAAGAATCCTTTAGCTAAATAAATTGTTCCATTTTACTTGGGATAAAATTGCCAATAATATCATAATTAGTCCTTTTTTGCCTTAGACATTAAGGTGAATTGTAGGTGTTGTGCTAATATTACTACTGTTATTCCACACTTGTTTTTAGATTAAGCTTTAGCAAAATTTGATGAATGATTCTTATTTTTAATTATACTATTGTGCTAATTAAATGATTGAATACCATTTGTATTAATAATTTTCAGGTGGGAAAACTTTTCCAATTTTCTACTTCTGATGTGTATAATACGTTAAATTCACACCCCGAATTGTTTAACCAAAACAGCTATTTACTGAATTGAAATTAGGAGTTGGAAAGATATTGATTTTAAGCTAAGATTTGATCACTTGGTAGCAAGATTTCAGTTTCTTAAGGCAAATGAATCTTATAATATATAATAAAATAAATCTGGAAAGTGTGTATCTTGTACTTTAATACTCGGTTAGCTTTTATTCAGTGAAATCGTCAGTTGTTAGATGTGATATGTATATATATATATATAAATAGCTACAATTCTAACTGTTCATGTGAAAGAATACAGGTTGCTTTCTTAACCTAGTTATGGTATGTTCTAAGTAGTGAAAAATCAATATTTGAGTGAATAATCCCTATATCGTTGTTTGGCGGAACGAGTAACGTGTATAGTGTCAGTGCATACAACTCGAAAACTGTCGCATGAAATTAAAAGGCAGGTGATATCTAGTAACTTTATGTCATGACAGGAATGGGAGGCGATATGAATTTCTTGGATTAATGTTACGTGTCTGCCAGGAAACCACTTTGAATTTATTTAAACAATTACTTTTGTTATTGTTCAGCTTGACACTTTATCTAAAATGACTTTCATTCCAACGAAATAAATGACTGGGTACTGTGAAAAACACCAAATATTGGAAATCATTAATTTTGTGTTAACATTTAGTAACTTCGTAAATTGTTGACGTATCTTCATTTAAAAATTCTCCCAATTGTTGCAGTCTTTGCGTTGTTACCCACATTTAATTTTAATACAGATAATTGCCGTGCTTCCTAATCATATGCAAGCTGCATGTAACGCCATGCTGGTAGAAGGAAAACATAGAAATACACCCTCCATTTGATATTAGTGCTAATATTTATTATTACTGCCTTGGGAAGCACATCACCATTTATTGTTATCTGCAACCCCTTTTAGCTGACCCCTCAAGTGCTCATACACTTCCATTTTCTCCTTACACGATCATCTCCATGCGACCTTCAGATCCAGGTGCAACTTGTGGCTTCCCATTCGAGTTCTACTAAAAGGCCTGTCTGGGGCATGATGCCAGCCAACTTTCTTCTCAGAGTACCTCAAATCCATTTCCACTTTCTTCGACATATTTTCTGGGCGGCTGTTTGGTTTTTTGTCTGAGTTCCATTGTTGCCAATTGTTTTCGGTCATGTGATCCTCACTACCGAAACAGTGAAGGCAACTGCTGCTATAAGTCTGAAGCCTGTTCAAAATACTTTTGGTGATGTGCGAAATCTCTTAACCATAACATATAAAAGGAGTGATTTAACATAAACGTTTAAGAACCTATTCTTGTCCCTTCTGCTGAGCGCAGCAGACCTCAACATTGATTTCAGATTAGTGAAGGTCTGTTTTACTTTTTGGATCTTCTCTGGCATTCAAATCCTTATCCATGCCCCCTGTAATGGAAACGAAGCTGCCTAGATAAGTGAAAGTGGTGATCTTCTTCAAATTTCTCGCCTTGACTGGTGCTTTCTTCTGTTAGTTAGCTATCTTATTCACTTCTGTCTTCTCTGTTTTCTCCTCAAGTTCTGTCTTCGCTGCCTATCTCTTCTACCAACTTGTTAATTTTACCCTGTAGATCTTAGAGTTTTTGTAACACTGGAAATAAATACTCCGTGAAGTCTACATCTTTTAGAGTTCTGTTATAGCGTCATCGTATTCTTAACCTCTCACAGTCTGCCGCATTATCCAGTCCATCACAATCAGGAATATAATCAGTGATAGTAAATAACCTTGCCTTGATTATTCCTTCACTTCAAAGGCTTCGTTGAGTTTTCCGTGAAGAATCGCTTGAAGTGCGCATTACCATACAGCTGTAAAACTAGGTACATGATAAGCCCTCCTTAGTGTTGAAACCGTTTCCAAAGTACTTCACTTTCAACGCCATTATAAGTATTTTCAAAGTTGGGTTAGAGATTTAACTGTCATTCCATGCTCTGTTGATGATGATGCATAGTGTTGGTTTGGTTGACACATGATTTGTTTTACCTGAATCCAGCTTGTTCCGGGTAGGGTTCTTCATCCAGAGCATTTTTCAGTCTCTCCGAGATGATATGATTTGATATTTTGCTTCTGGTGGACAGTTACGTGATTAATGTGATCGGTACAGCATTTCTTTGGTTAATAGGTTTCCTTCACATCATTTCGTCTGTTTCATTTATGTTGATCTGTTCCCGGACAGCGACCTGCTTTTTTGATATAGTACTGTGGGGTATCATTTACCTGTTACCTGTTCTTCTTTCTTCGCAAGTGTACAATGAATGTCCTTTATGTTTCCTAGAATTTTTCTCCAGTTCTTTATTCAGTGAACTGTAGAGTGAACTTCACTTCTCCTTTCGCTGTTCATTATTGCCGTGGTTCATCTTCATCCTCAGCATCCTTGACTCCATCAGCTTCTAGGTGTCTGTAAAAAGTCATTCATTCTCCCTCCTCTTCTTCCCTAAGATGATTACACAGGTTTATTTCTGTGTCACCTTCAGAGAGTTGTACTGTTTTCCCACGAAAGTTTCGTAAGTGATGTTAGTGACTGTCTTCAGCTTTTTACCGATTAGTGTATCCATTTGTAGCATCATGCTTCATCTTCTGGATGTTGAAACTAAATTGTAGTCTGTCTCCAGCTTCTCTGAAGGCTTTCAATTTGATCTTGAAGATTCTTTCACTAGACGGTGGTTTGAGCCCATATTTGCTCCTCTCGTCCATCTTGTGTGCAGAAGTTTGCATCTTTACTTTCTTGAGATTGAGACAAAGTCTACCTGATTTTAAATGTGTTCATCTGCTGAAACTCACGTCGCCATGTGGATATCTCTTAACATGTAAATTTTGCCTTTAAAAATGAAATCATTGAAAGCGAAGAACTTATTACCCAAAAATTATAATTAAGGAAATGTAGATGCATTGGACATACGTTGATGAAACTGTTAAGTAATATCAGACGCTGCACAGACCTTCAATGAGTATCTAAATTGGAAGCGACGAGTCAGGCGTAGGCCTGAAGATGGCATGGGAGAGATCATGTAAAGAAGAAATGAAAGCTTAATGGCAGTGGTACAGCCAGTTAAAAGTGATGTCAAACAGCTGAACGCAATGGAGTTGAGTTGCTGCAGATCTATTTACCACTCCGAACCCAACAGTTCAAGAATAATAAATTACTCAAGAAAAATAATCATGTTCAACACTAAAAATTATTCCTTACAGGCAGTCCTTCACTACACTCGCAGTTACTGAAGAACTCTTACAAAAATTAGGCTAAAGTTTGTCAGATGAACTGCATTCACTTCACTGTTCCACCGCTGGTACCTTCATGCATCAATAGAAACCGAAATATAATTTATTTCGGAGCCTTTCTTTCAAGGCAGATAACAAACTTAGCTTATTGTTTGGCTCTTTTTTGATTAGTACGAGTACAGAATCAAGTTTCGCGTCGAAGTATAATTAGTATTACCAGTGCTGAGAAGTTGGCTAGGCCACTGAATACGTTACTAATCATACGTCTTCGATTTCTGCAAAACTTTAGGTGAACAAGAATATAACAGCACAATCAATCGGTTATAGTTTTTTAGACTTGTAAAGATATTTTTAGCCTAACAACCTCACACAAAGTTGTGCTTTTTTAATTTTTTATGTTCTAGGATAAATGAGTTTCTTCTGTTAAATGATGAAGAGATACCAAAATTACCGCACGCATAATCTAATAAAAGGGAACAATTAAAGATTGTTTGTATGTGTGTGTGCGCGGTTAAAACGACGAATTAGAACAAACAAATAGTTTGTAACACAATTACCTGTCTGACCTTGCAAATTCATTAAAACAAAGTTACATGAATGCGTACATCTGTTCAATACTGGTTAAAATTTTTGAAGCGCGAAAAGATAGAATTATAACTCATCAACTGCGATTTAAATTGCTAACAAAAACTACTGTGCAAGTTTGATAGAACTGGCCAATTTAAAATTTCAAAACATAATTATGTCAGGTAACAGTTAAGGCTAAAGATAAAGTTCAGGAATTTTTCAAATTGTACAGCACACCTAGCGATTATCTTCACCAGCTATAAACCTCTCCTTGAACAGCACAACACTGTCAGATACCAGACTTACCTTCTTGTGGATTTCATAGTCTACTTCCCATTGAACATGTATCCAACCAGTAATTGGATCCAAAGCAAATAATCGTATAAATTCCGGTTTAGTTAGCGAACTTATTCGATATTTAATTTGAGCATTACTTCCTTCATCAATATCAGTCGCTTTAACCTAAATTGAGATAAATAATGAATATTGTTAGAAAACTATATACTAACTTATATTTAACACTATGGAAAACTAGAAACTTAAAAGAAATTCATCACGTTGAGTATTATACCAGCTCAAATATTTATTGTTATCATAGGTTATACTCTGGTTCACTAGAAAAGTGATTAAAATGGAATGTCACAATAGGACTTAAATGAAGATGGCTTAAAATCTAATCAGTAAGGGCCAGAAAGTGGTAAAGTAGGAATAAAATAAAAATCAATTATCTGATGTCATTAGATCACTTTAAAAATATGGCGTATTTAAAACACGTAGAGAAAAAGTAACTGTCATCAGTGGCTCATGCATCGCAATCCAGGTAAATGGAGACCTCTGTCGTCAATCAAGATAGTGGTCGCTGGCCAGATTAAAACTATCTAAAAACTGGATGACATTGCACTCTTTCGAGTGAAGCTCATCAGTGATCTTCAAAGCATCTTCCTCCATCAAAAATTTAGAATAAATATGTTCATTTTTACTTCCATTATGGAAGCATTTAGTCGACGAGTGGACTGTTGAATACGGCAAACGAAATTCATAGTTTTCTGACAGATTTTACATACACTTTTGTTTAACCACTGAATAGCGTTTGAAGAACATAGAAACAGGTTGCATCAAGAGACTAAGGAGATGCAAAGTGAATGGTCAATACAGCATAGATGTCCAGTGTATTTTGACATAACCAAAGGATAAATAATATTGTTGCCATTACAGGAAATGTGCTATGTGTTCAAACATCAGAAGTTATTAAAGTCTTTTCACTAACTGATGGTTTTGTTTTCGATTTTTAGCTCAAAAACGTCTCCTTCTATCTTATATTTCTGGAGTTAATAACTGCTTATCTAACTCAAATTGTAGATTGCTATTTACGGTATTAAGCTTTTAGCCCTAACATATTTGACCTTAGCTTAGATTCAGCGTATTACTGTAGTGTCAACTCTTCACATTCACCCTCATAATCTAGTTTTTTCAGTCCTGTAATTCTTCATGTAACAATTTAAAACAAGCGAAAATAATCTGACAGGAGGGACAATTAAATTCGAAGGCTTTATGCCCTACTCAAATGACGTTTTACACATAAACTAGAAAATAGAGGGATAGAAGTCAATTCATTGTGAAAAATTTTCGGGAAAAGCCTGAATTTGGCTATGAAATGGCTAGACTGAGAAATTCAATGATGACTAAGATTGCAATGAACGGTACATTTTATCACTTTAAGCAGAAGTAAATAGTAGTCGATTATGTGATAGTTGGTCAGATCCAGTTCAATCCATAGCCGATTCACTCAAAAAGGAAACCAGAATTGAAGTGACTTAGACTCGTTCTCTGTCTATGCTGAGTCACATCAGGTACACAGCTAATGAGCTTGGTTTTAGAAGAGCGAATCCACTCTCGGTGCATAGATCATTGAGGTTTAGTTGGCAGCCACTAGCCATCAACATGAGTAGTTTCGGAATACTCACATTATTCTTTGGTGTTTGTCATAAGCTTTGGCATTATTCTGGACAACGTTTCAGGTTATGTAATCACAGTCAACAGCAGTGCTGAGTCACGTGTCCTTATCTTCAGATTGCATAGTTGATCAATGGATTTGGATCAACACACCTAAACTTGATTAATCCATTTTCTAACTGTAATTAACTTCCACAAATTATCATTCATGTGCATATGTAATTACGATTTGATAGTATTATGCAAAATTTATTTTTCAGGTGCTGAGTTGCAGGGATTTGACTGGTACCAAGATAAATGTCGTCATTGAAGACCAGAGGTCACTGGATAGCCGTCTTATCCTGGTTTAGAAATTCAGCCCATGGCTATCAAACAAATTTCAAGCACAGCATTATTCAAAAGAAATCCTGGTAATAGACTTACATCTTCTTACCGAGTAGAAAAGGCCACTCTCAAAAGTAAAGGGAAGTGCACAAAAGTCTCAGCGATTTAATGAATTCTTTAGGTAGACCGTTTTCGTCTACCATATTGTTCAACTTTTTGGAAAATTGTGCTTAATTATTTTAAATTTCAGCATGAAGATGTAATATGGCGAAACAGAATACTTTGCTGAAAGCTTCGATCAAGTAATTGTTCCACAACGAAGTACTTAATGACTTAAGCGCGAATTACGAAACTACCTCAGCCAATGAACGATATTGTTCTTTGACACTTAGATTTAGCTTTAACCGAATCAAATCAGGTTAAAATAGCTGCTCAATTTAAAAATTCTATCGCGATCACACGTACTACCTTTAGTAACTACGATTCATTAGTTGTTTTTAGCTTCCATGGGAAAAAAGACGTTTTTTATGACTTAGCTAAATCAGGAGCGAAGTCCTAGGAGTTAAAGTAAGAAATCTAGGCCAGTGGTATGTGCTCACCTAATTGTATGTATTCATCCTTTTTGATTCTATAATTTTCGATAAGCATTATTGGTACTGATACTTTGACTAGACACTAGTGAGTAACTAGTGCAATGTGTCTAGTCCTATCTCTGGTGCAGACTGAATTCTATTAGTCAAGTTTGCAATGTGTTCACTATGCTAGATGGCTTGTCATCACGGTGCACTTTGAATTGTTGATATTAGATGGTTGTTGGCAATCGGCCATATTGCAAACCTGACTGATAGAAGTCAGTCTGCACCAAAGAAAAAACTAGACACATCACACTAGTTACTAGTGTCCAATCAGAGTATCCACTACAGTCGTACAGGAGATTAATCACGAGCCCGAGTAGCTCAGTCGTAAAGTCTGTGACTGCAGCACTGGGTGACGCTGGTTCGAATCTCAGGAAGGACATGAGTTTCTTCAAGGCTGCAGACCCGCCTCGCTGACTGGTAATTTCTAGCTAGCATGAAACCTAGGTCCAAGGTTTCTTGCCGATTGCCTCCAACCACCTAATGCTATTATTACTGGCCTATAAAGGTTTCTATATTTTTTCAAATGCTACATAATGAACTGATATATGCTTATATATGATGGGTTCAGACTTTAGAAAGCACCTAAAAACTCCTAATGAAATCATTTGATGTAGTAGAGAGCCTGAAATATAAATATGAAGTCGTTAGACGTATCTAAGGTGTGTTTGTAATGTTTTCCCTGTGTATCTAACTAGTTCATACTTTATCAAGATTTCATAGCCCATAAACGATGAATAATTATGATGATATTTCATGACTGTAGCCTTAAATACTGAACTCAATTAATGGACTGTGACTAGCAATAGAATCCAGGATGAGTATTTCGTTCTATTTGGTACTCGTCATCTAGATGTACCTGCATTCCTCAGTGAGTGATGGTATTCCCACCGGGGCTCGAACCCAGTGCCCGCAGTTTCAAACGCCAAAGCGTTATCCACTAGACCACTTAGGCCACAACAGCCACCTCTAGTGCAACGGGTCATATTAATTATTTAATTCAATTAAGATTTTCCCATTGATTGCAGGTACATCTGATCGAAGAGTCCCAAACAGGACGAAATGCGCATCCTGGATTCCACTGCTAGTCATCATCCACCAACTGACTTCAAGTTACATGATCAAACATCATCGAAGTATGTGCACAAGAAGCCGACATGTCAACCTGAGTCAGAGCACTTCGGTCCAGTCAATTAGCAGGAAAATCTTAATTGAATTAAATTAAATACCTAATGTTTTGCAAAGTTTTAGAGAAATGATATTATGAAGCCAAATATAAATCATTGCGAAATAATAAGATCCCCTAGATTACATTTAGAAACATCACTTCACTTCTGTTTCTTAGATATGGATTAAACCTGTACTCTAACTAATTTATTTGCCCTCCCTTTTTTCCAGATAAAACGGTATGACGCATTCATGTCCCAAAGTTTTGACAATAATCAACGTCTTTAAACAGCAGATATTGTGTATGTGACATAGAAAAACTCAAAAACCACATTTTTTTCCATGGGAACAATTTTTTGGTTATAGACTATTTCAGTATACTTAGACCTATGTATATCATGGCTAATGAGTGCTATACAGTGAAACTCTAGGCATTAGTTACATTATTCTGAAACACAGGCTTCAGGGTATTCGGTGCTTTAATGAATCCATTTTGATTGTATAATTATTGAGAGAAATTTTAGACCTGCGATTTTGCAAAGCTCATTATTTAATAATTTATCTTATATTTTATTGATAGACACCATTTTAATACATTTTACTATTTGATTTTTTTATTTCGTTATCATTTGTTTATTATTTATCTCGGCCATTTTTCAGCCATAAAAATCACCACCGTTTTTTGTTTTATTTAATCAATCTTATTCAACGTTTCAATGGCGCCAAATATGATTTAAGTTGATATACTTTTACTTTTTTTGCAATAAATGATTAATGCTGTCCACTTTTAGATAACATTTGGGCGAAATAAATAAAAAAGATGTGAATATAAAAAGGAAATTATGACTGAAGTGAATATATATATATATTAATTAGCACACTGAAGCATTAAAGTTATTTAAGCCCCCCGTTTTAAATCAGGCGTCTAGGAAATTTTTGATATGTATCAATAGGAAGTACAATTGTTCATGTGAAAATTAGATATACATTTCAGCTGAATAAGATAAGCATTCCACAGTTATTTCCGATTTTCATTCTTTTTGGTTTTACCCAAAAAACATATTTTACGTTTATATCTTACAGAATTAATATTTTGAGGTATTGTTTCGACAATTTTATTTTGTTATTAATGTTTATTTCTCTGCACATTATATTCTAAAATGTGATATAAGTTAAATGGTCACGATGTGTGTTTGCGTTTTCCCTTAATTAGATATTGGAAGAGCAGTAAACCAGATGGAGACATGTGTCAAAGCTATTTACCTACCAGCATCTATCTAAGCGATTGCATTTTTAAACTAATCCAAATTTGTGAACTTGGCTCTACTGAAACTATTCAATGGCAAACCATCGTTATCACATAAAATTTTAAGGTAAACATATAACCGCTAGTAAAATTTGACTGAATAATACTAGAAACTGCATACTTTTACAGTTCTGTCAAAAACATTTCGTAATGAGATAAAAGGTGTGATTAGGGTGACAGATATTGTGATACATGTTACTTATGTTTGACGAAACATATGGGGTTATCATGACAACGGACCTCAAATATTCACCGTTAAGACTGGATAAATGTTATTTGGATTATTTTGAGAGATAAATGGACCCAAACTGCAACAAATTTGTACAAAAACAGTGTACTTGTTTTGGCTGCGTATCCTTCTTGACTAGATCAAACTATATTTTCACACGAATGAATAAGTTTCGCAATCACTTCACCTCCAAAAAAGGTGTCTTCAATTATGATCAGGATCTATTTTGACGAAGTTTTAAAATTCTTTATAGGGTGTCTTTTTCAGAAATAAAATTGAGGTAAAACATCACATAAATATGGAACCTTGTAGATTCCAACAAGTCTAGTGGTTACCTGTACGACGGGTGTATGTGGTCTGGCATTTTCACGTAAATCCACAATGTATGTATCTTTTTCAAAGATTGGAGAATTATCATTAAAATCTGTCACATGAACTTGCAATAAAATTGTTGCATTTCTACTCGGAGATCCTCCATCAACAGCTGTTAAATTGAATTCATATAATGATTCAGTTTCTCTATCCAATGGACTTCGAACAATTAATCGGAGTTCATGCCTTGGCCCTGGTGGGGATCTATTCAAAGTTTCAGAAAATGAAGATATTACATTCGATTGTAAATCATCAGACACTTGAAGATTTGTAATAGATGTATCTCTATCTAATGATGTCCATTCTAATTCAAATTCAGGAACTTGAGGTTCAATCAAATATTTGATTATGTTATTTGCCCCAGCATCTTGATCCACTGCAGGTGTCAGTTGTATTGTATCACCAATAAGGCTGCTTTCAGATACGTAAACATGCATTACATCCTAGTGAGAAAAGCAAAGTATTTTATAACAAAAATAACACTGATATACAAATATATACGTACAAATAGGTTCAATGATTGTAGGGACAAATAATTCAGTTTAAACTTTCACTGACCACAATGCAAGTATACTGTTTAAATACCACAATGGATAACATTCAGTGTGCACTGAAGCTGAGCTCCTAACTAGCTGAATTATTGCCGTCTTCCAGATTACGTTTTACCTTCGTTAATCACTCATTAGGCCATCAGTATGTTTCAAGTTTCATCTGGCTTACAAGTCTCCTGTTAAAAATAACATCCGTTTTATATTCTGTTTCTAGCCAATATTAAATTCACCAAGTGATGAAAGAAGAACACTCTTAGACAAATCTTAGAGTTCACTTCATGGAAGAAATATAAAATACCTACCTCGCCACAAAAGACATTTTGTTTTACTTCTACTTCAATTCCTTCGTGTTTCGAGTGGAACATAGGACTTCAGACTTTGAAGTTTCAGTAGCAGTGGTCGTGTTTTCAACGGCATGGGGTAGCTCAACCTTTTCTCTTTCGCGATCTTACTAATGGCGATTAAACTAGGCAGGGTGTATGAGTCATTCGTCCGGGAATCGAACCCAAACCTCCAGAGCAGTTGTCAAGCATCCTATCACTGAACTACTAATAGTGTCAAAAAAGACATGCATTCAGAATTCAAGTTAATCTAAATAAATCATAGATGATGGATGATAATTTATGCTTTTAAGCCTCACATCAAATTTTAATTAAGTCACCCAGAGATAAACTCATACATATTCCTGTGTTAAAAAACGTTCCAAACTTGCTTTGCGCATGCAGCCTACTATGTATATACAGACTTCGCCGTCAGCTGACTTTTATACAACTATATAAAGAAATTTTCCGATAAGCTGATATCTAAGTATTTATTCACACTATATTCTTAACAAACCTAGAAATCTTAAATTACAAACATTTTATCAGTGAAGATTAACAAAATGAACGCAACAGCTGCATACTGTTGACTGACGTGAGTGGTCGGGAACTACTCATGATAGACTATACTGCATGGTAGGTAGACTGAAATGATCTGAATAACGGATGGCGGTTTCATTCGATATGAAATGAGCTCATAAGCACTGCATCAGGTCCGAATGATGAATAAGTTCAAATCACTCGACTTTTCGGTTAGCTAGTTGGGCGAAACTGTGCGTCGGTGGCACAGCGGTTAGGACGCTCGCCGACCATGCACATGGTCCGGGGTTCGATCCCCGACCGACGCACTCCTTTACCTCGCTAAGCTAGTAATAGAATTGGCAAAGAGGGAAGGTTGGGCATGAGGCTAGCGACCCCATCCTATAAAAATAAACACTGCTACAGAAACTTCAAGCCTCTAGCTTGAAGCCCTATGCTCCACTGGGAACGTAAAGGAATAAAAAAAAGTTGGGCGAAACTAGTAATGCATAGAATCAAATTTGTTGTTTACAAATTATTCAGTCTTGGGGGAGGATTTTTCTCTGCTTTCTTTAAGAATCAAACATATGCCGAGCACAGTGTGTGTTTATGGCGAAATGTCACCTCAGGTTGTCATTCGCAAAAAATGACAAGTACAATTCTCAGTGAAGTACAAATTCTTAACAAATATTATGAATGAATATACACGTTTACACTGGTAATACATACCTGTTTCTGAGAATCTTCTGCAAAATTTAAAAATCCTGATTTACTTCCTAATAACCATGTTGGTGCATTATCATTTATATCAATAATTTGTACATTAACTGTAATAATATTTGTATATTGATCATCTGAGCGTATATTTAAATCCAACTGACAAGTGGATACTTTTTCATTATCTACAGAATTATGAGCTAAATTCATTTGTGATTGTTTATGCATATAATCTGTACGATAATCTGAATAACTAGAATATGCACAACAAGATTTAAATGTTGGACATAACTGATCCCTGTCTATTCGTCTAGCCACTCGCAGCACACCAGTTTGTGCATCTAAATGAAAGTATTTCGATTGTGGTTCACTATTAAATATTTGATAGTAATAATTGTTCGACTTTTTCAATTTATCGTTATCATCACCAATATTAGTATTACTGGTATCAGTTGGTTGATTTGGATTATTGTTATTATTATTATTATTGCTACCTGAGGTAGTAGGCATTGAATGATTGATTAAGAATTGTAAATTGGCTACTTCTCTACCGATTGACTCTTCTTCAAGCAGGCGTACATTCAACTTTTTTAAATCACCCATAAACATTGACTGTGACATTGTTTTATATTGTTGAATAAATCTTTTATTCCGTTTGTATTTCAATAAATCTGATTTAGTACTAGTAATGGATTAGTATTAGTAGTAGTAATAATAATAACAGTAAGAGAATTAAATATATACATAAAATAAAGGAAATAGAAAAGAAGAATCTTCATTTGTTTCTGTATATGATGGGATTTGAATTCATTGTACAGCTGGTTCAATGTTTCTTTAGATTTACAAGTATCTTCTTCTTATTAGGACCTATAAAACCAAAAGAAAAGGCATATGTTATTATGCATACAGATTTATTTCGTTTATTAAACATGGAAAGTTATTTCATCAGATTCTGGAATTTGTGCTGAACTGGATTAATTTAAATTCTTAGATCTCGTTACGACTCAACATCAGTTAGAGAGGTCACTGAAACACAAGGAGAACTGGAAAACCATTTCCACCTCTTCTAGGACTCATCAGCAATGGTCACCCACGGCTTCACCGGGTATCGAACCTGGGATATTCAAGTTGAGAGATCAAGTCAATTTATCATTTCTTAAGAGTTCTAGAATAGGACTTTTGGTTTTCGATGATCCCTCTAACTGACGTTGATTCATGACGAAATCTAACGCCTGAAGTTATTTAATCGCTTAAACTTGAATTAATACCTAATACATCCCTGATAAATTTCGTCACGGAAATAATAACTACCAGCGATATTCTCATGAATGCATTTATGTAAAAACCGAAGATTCGGTAGTGCTGGTAACAATTCTCTCAAGGGGTTAGTGATATTAATACCTTTATTCTGAAAAGTGAGTTCATTTACAACGCTGGATTCTCACAAAGTTTTAGTGTGGAATGCTAAAATAATATAATCATCGAAGCAGTATTGTTATATCCAAATACTCTCAAATATCCGGTAATATTTTTCCACCGATTCCTTTGAAACATTCATAGTAGTAGATTGAAATCTTCTTCTTAGACGAGCACACTCTCTGATAACGGATGAGAAAGAAAAAGAAGAAATATCAAACATTACTGAGACTCTCAAGCGAAACAACTACCCAAAGAACTTCATCAACAAAATCAACACTGACATTAAGTATGGTCGAAAAAGTATTCCGAAAACATGGACCTCAACAGTTGTCATTCCATATAAAGCGGAGACGTCAGAGGATATCAGAAGAGTACTCAATAGTCTCGATATCAGAGTTTTCTTCAAAACATCAGACACACGGCGAAATAACCTTGTCCATAGAGAAGAGGAAATCCCTAAAGATTCTCCATCTAATTGCGTCTATAAAATAAAATGCTTGCTGGGAATGTGATGCGATATACATCGGACAAACATCTCGAGAAATCAAAATCAGAGGAAATGAACATCATAGAGCATCTGTTCGACCACCGAGAAATCCAGTTGAACTAGAAGAACTTGAAAAATCATCAGCCATAAGTCTACATGCTATAGAATCAGGCCACAAAATTGATTTTGACAATATTGAAATAATCCAGAAAAATTTCAGAAATCACAAAGAACGTCTAACATCATCAGAAGCACTTCATATCAAGTGGAATCCAAATTGTCTGAATAGGAATGATGGACTGAAACAGAATTTGACCTGGTTACAACACCTCCCTCCCCTCCCCCATGAAGTGACAAAATCAACACGGATGTGATAAGCAATTTCATTATATAAGCACACTCTGTTTTTCTAATTTTACACACTTATCAAATCCAACAATCTACACCTGGTTTTGTTATCTTAACCGATTGGCCAATCTGACAACGCAAAATGACCCCATACTGAGGAACGATGATTAAGTTGTTATATATGAGCTGAGTGGATTTTGTAAATTCTGGTTTAATAATACTTTGATAAAGCTATTAGCAGCATTAAATAGCGAAACGTCAGCAAAAACAACAATATCGTTTTGTTTTTCATTCATTGGGAAATACAAAGAACCTTAATTATAACAGATTGAAATCTATTTAAAAATAAGAGTGAGAGTAGTGATAGTAATTCAGGGACGTCATTTTATGATGATGAAAAACAGTATGAAATAGGGTAATTGTGATGCATTTCAATGAGTGGAAAATGAAGTAGCCAATGATCTAAGCAGACTACCGTATCTATTAACTGTGAACTTTTCCGTTCTCTAATAATGCCAAGTATGTTTAGTAATCACATATTTAGGCGACGAGATCCACAATATGTCTAATGTATTCGGGACACACTGATAGAATTTTCACTAAAAACTGTTAATGTTCGAGTAAGTATTAGGTGAGTAACAAAACAGGACATTATATTAACAGGAGTATAGCCGAAAATATTTACCTGACAGTAGTGAATGTAAAGAAAACATGCCTGCTGATTATATTACAACGGAAACAAAAAGATTGAAAGATCAGGTATATATCTTTCAGAAAGGTTTTCATATTTCAAATCTGAATACTCATGGCAAATTGAGTCGGTTCACAGTGGCTGAATGGCATACGAGCTTGCCTTGTAACCAGAAGGTCCTGGGTTCGAACCCTGTTGGTGGGTGCGTACTGCCGATGATTCCCAAACTAGGATGCAACAGATGTCTAGTACTCCAGTGCTGGCTTTCAATGCTTCTCTAACTGATATCAATCCGTGGTCAAACTCTTAAAAAAATCTAATCCTTACAAACCAACTCTTGAAAATCAATAATTACCGTGAAATATCTATTGTTGAGTACACTTCAACCTTCAGGAATATGGAGATACATGTTTATTGAGAAAATACTTGTCATCCATTGTTTTTCTCACTAGTCAATATTTTAGTGTATAGGACACAAATCAAGAAGACCTCACACAAAGAAACAAAGCTAAGAAATGCTGAATATACCACATATTTAAGTTAGAATATTTTGTACATTATAGTCTACAAAAGAAGCGAATCGGCAAATATTACTTTGTTCTACATCAAATTTGCCTACCTTGGGTCTTATTTTTTACCACTAAATTTTTATAGAATACAAAATCAACAGGATCTTGACGAATAACAGATAAATAAACAAATTAACTTCAATTTTATAACAGTTTGCCTTCAAAATTTAACCTGTTGTGGAAAGTTTGAATTTCAAAATGCCGCTTTATACATTGAGTGAATAAAAGTTTTAAAAAATCTACAACATTAGCAGATTTTCTACGAGTGTCCCGTTTCCCCTTATTGAGGTAAACACAAGATATATGTGTGTCTAAACAAAACCTAGTTTAACTTCTTAAAAAAATATGCTTCATAAGGTTATATAATAAATCTGAAATATGTATTTAGCAATAGGTTGTGTGTTTTCGACAGCCTTGTAGTGTTAAGTTTAATTTTCTAAATTAGTGAATAGTTTTTCAGTGAAACTGACGAAAATATGACATTATAATAACTGCCTGTTGATGATTAGCAATGGATTCATGAAACTGCATACTGCTCTGTTCATTAAGTCCCAACACCGATTAATATTCATCACAGTGAATAGTTCTTTCGAACTCCATACGCGTTATTTCAAACATTGAGGTTTAATTGACAAGGCTAAATAGTGGCAAGTATCAGTTTCCAATTTTATTACAACTGTATATCTTTACGAATGGATTCCACTGATCTCTGTTAGCATGTAGAATCTTTGATATTCCGACAGATTTGATATAAAGCAAAATGAGATCTTATGTAATATTCTAGTTTTAAAATAATTTGTTGCGTTACAAAGCATCAGACTTAATTTGTTTTTTAAACACATTTTGAATAGTCTAATTACGCACCTTGACACGTGAACTGATAAGAAAAAAATTCATGAAGAGCTAAGAGGTGAGGCAATGAATATAGTTTAATAATTTCCATTGTAATATTTAGGACGTATTATTCGTTGAAAAGACTTTTTCAATGGATTTACTATCACGTTGAACAGTTATGTAGCCACAGAATCTCTCCACACAGATACCGGAACATTTTCCAGCATGGTTTTACAGGGTGGAAAGGAAAGGTTTGATAAGCTCTATTTTGAAACGCTGGATCGACTTCTGTCACTCAACCAGCACCCACCATGACTGTAATATCATCTATTGAATTCATGCTAAGTTGTAGAGTTTTCTTCTTTTCCACCTTCTAAAGACAATGAAAGTCTTGGCTGTACATGAATTCAAGCCAGACTATCGTGTAGAAAAGAGATATGAATAGTCCATATTTTCATCTTGGCCACAGAGTGAAAACGAGGGATTAAACATTTCTTTATTTTTCGTTTTGTTTATCTCAACCTTTGTACCTTCCCCCATATTATTATGGTTGTTATTATTTTGAATTTTAGCAGTTCACGGTATCATTTCAACTGTCCCATTTATTATTTTGTTTTAATATATTTTTGCAATGCGAAAATATATCTTATCAAACTTATGGCCTTATTAGGTAATGTTTTCATTTTCTTACTAATTGTATTAGTTTTACGTGAACCCCCTCCCCAAGATCTAAACATCCTATGAACCATTATACACACTGAATAATTTATCGCATGACTCTGAACTATGATTGTCATAACAAAAATTTCATCGTATTTCGCACTATTAATATAATTATCCACAACTTCTGTTAAACTTTCTTTACAGGATTTAATTATTCATAATTTTTATTGTGCACTGAAGTTTCTGATGCAGTTTGAATAACTTTGTGGGGTAGGGTCACTGGCCCAACTCCCTCTTTACCCAGGTTTGGGACCGGCTGGAAAACTAGCAAGCTAGTAAACTAGGCGAGCTTTACCAGGGACCTCTAGACATAATGAATTTAGGTCAAATTAAAATACCATGTTGAAGGTCAAAATAACAATAAAGATCAACAAAACAAGAAAGAGAGGATATTAGTGCATTAATTTTGATTTCAAAACAAAACTTATTGTAAGAGTAAATGGTTCATGAGTTTATAAAGATGATTTAAACTTCTTAATCACTAATGCCTCCAAGAAGTTTGCTATATGCCTTCAACAGGTATAATAAATGGGTTTAAAAGGTAAACAGACATCTTCTTGATGCTGCGTTTCACAACCCGTTATACCTATAAATTTAAGCATACACGTAGACTCACAAATC